GCGGAAATCAAATGAGCAAAAGCAATAGTTAAAAACCTAACAAAAGATGACCTCACATATAGAAAAATGATCAGCTTTGCAAATCAAAGGAATCAATGATTTCTAGAGAAAATTAATAAAGAACTTTAAGACAAGGAAAACATTTTCTAAATAAAAGAAGAGTTTGGATTTGTGCAATATAGAAATATAGATAGATCTTAGTATGATATTGTCCTTATAGAAAAATCACATATACACACATGCTATACACATATAGTAAACATAACCATCAAATTTAAGATATGATATTACCTACTCTGAGGATAACATCAGAGTAGGAAAACACAAGAGACTTCAACTGCACTGGTAAAGTTTTAAGCTGGATGAAACATATGTGGGCATCTGTTAATTTTTTTTTTTTTTTTGGGATGGAGTCTCTTGCTGTTGCCCAGGCTGGAGTCAGCGGCAGGATCTTGGCTCACTGCAACCTCCACCTCCCGGGTTCAAGTGATTCTCCTGCCTTAGCCTCCTAAGTAGCTGGGACTACAAGCATGTGCCACCATACCCAGCTAATTTTTGTATTTTTAGTAGAAATGGGGTTTCACCATGTTGGCCAGGCTGGTCTTAAACTCCTGACATCAGGATCCGCCCAACTGAGCCTCCCAAAGTTAGGATATTCTTTATTCCTTTTTGTACATATATTATTTTCCATAATTAAAAAGAAAAATCACTATCTGCAATGAGAAGCACTTAAGGAATGCTGTAGCCATCCAGGCATGAAAATGATAGGGGCTTACCGACAGCAATGGATGAAGGGAAGAGGACACTGTGGAGAGAGATGGGGAAGGTAAATCAACAGTGTTTGTCAATTGCCCAGATATGGACATGAGGGAGAGGAAGGAGACGAGGCTTCCATGACACCAACTGAATGGATGGTGGCGTCATTCATTGAGATGGGAGAACACAGAAAAATAAGCAAGATTTCAGAAGGGGTGATAGGAAAATAATGAGTCTAGTTTTTGACAAGTTGACCTTGAAATATTTCCAAATGGAAATTTCCCAGAAGCAGTCAAAACTACGATCTGCAGATGGGGAGTGAGAACTGAGTTAAAGATAGATTTGGGAGTCATCAAAAGAGCTGATGATTAAAGCTACAGACCTGGATAAGGCTTCAGAGAGAAAATGGGGAGTGGGCTCTGAAGAGAGCTTAAGAGGGAGTGTTGGGACAACAGAGGAGTCACAAAGGAGACTGACAGAGAGCACTCCAAAGAGGCTGGAGGAACCATGAGTGCATATTATCCTGACAGCTAATAGAAAAAGAGTGTTTCAAGGAGGAAGGTATGGTCAACAGGGCCACATTTTGATGCAGGTTCAGGAGAGATAAGTACTAAAAGGAAACCACTAGATTGGATACCCAGGCAGTCCTTGGTTCATTTCTGAGAAACTAGGGAAGCCAGAGGGGGATAAATGGAAAAGTAGGGAGAAGGGAAATAGTGACATCAACTGCAGACTTCTTTTTCAGGAAGCCTGGCTCTAAAGAGAAGAGAGGCAAGGAAGGAGAGAAGGAAGACAGGTTGCAGAAGGATTATTGGTTTGTTCATATTTTTCCCAAGCTTGGATAGGCATAGGAATATTTAAGTGATAATGACAGAAAGAAACAAAAGTATGGATATATGGTATATTCAGGTCCCCAGTAATGAAGAAATCACAGCAAGGTTCTCATCAAGACAACTGCCTGGCCAGGCACAGTGGCTCACTCCTGTAATCCCAGCACTCTGGGAGGCCCAGGCAGGCAGATCACTTGAGGTCAGGAGTTCGAGACGAGGCTGGCAAATATAGTGAAACCTGGTCTACTAAAAAAAAAAAAAAAAATTTAGCCAGTTGTGGTGGTGCACATCTGTAGTCCCAGCTACTCGAGAGGCTAAGGCAGGAGAATCACTTGAGGTCAGGAGGTGGAGGTTGCAGTGAGCCATGATTGCACCACTGCACTCTAGCCTGGGTAAGAGAGTAAGATCCTGTCTCAAAAAAAAAAAAAAAAAAGACAACCACCTGGTTACAAATATACTTAAGTTATGTTAACACTCAATAGCTAGTGAAATAAAGCATTAACTAGAAGAATTTTAAACCACAGAGCAACACATCATGGCAGAAAGAAAAATGGACCTTAAATGACTACTATTAGAAAAGACCCTGCACAGTCCTCTACCTTTCTATCATCCAATAGTGCAAAGAAAAATACATTTCAGCATAATAGACAAAAGAAAATGAAGTTACTATTCACTCGTTTTCAGTTCTAGCTCTATATACTACCCATTTTCTTGAGAAATAGCCTTTATGAAATTCTTACCAGCTTTGGAGTTTTCAGGATGCTTGTCTGGGTGACACTCCAGAGCTCTGACTTTAAATTCTGCCAGGATTTGTTCAACCTAAAACAAAAATCAGTGTTTAAAATAAGGAGTTATGCTGGGTGCAGTGGCTCTCGCTTATAATCTCAACACTTTGGGAGTGTGAGGCAAGGGGATCGCCAGAAACAAGACCAGCCTGGACAACAAAGTGAGATCCAGTCTCTTCAAAAAATAAAATAATTAGCTGGGCATGGTGACACATGCCAGTAGTCCCAGTTACTTAGAAGGCTGAGGCAGGAGGATCCTTGAGCCCAGGAGTTCAAGGCTGCAGTGAGCTATGATTGCCCACTGCACCCCTGCCTGGGTAACAGAGCAAGACACTATCTCAGAAAAAAAAAAAAAAAAAAGAAAAAAAAAAGGTCAAACTTAAATACGTGAAAGAAAAAGCTGGGGTATCAATCCTCCCCAAAACAGCCATGATCAACCCAACTTTGTTTTATCCTTATATTTCTACTTTGACTTTTTCCTCGAAGAAATAATTTCCTCAATAACAATACTCAGAAAGCATCCAATAAATTGAAATAGTAGTTTGGTTCAGGTGCAGTAGCTCACACCTATAATCCCAGCACTTTGGGAGGCTGAGGCTGGTGGATCACCTGAGGTTAGGAGTTCGAAACCACCCGGCCCAACATGGAGAAACCCTGTCTCTACTAAAAATACAAAATTAGCCAGGCATGCTGGTGCATGCCTGTAATCCCAGCTGCTCAGGAGGCTGAGGCAGGAGAATCACTTGAACCTGGGAGGTGGAGGTTGTGGTGAGCCGCGATTGTACCATTGCACTCCAGCCTGGGCAACAAGACTGGAACTCTGCATCAAGAGAAAAAAAAAAAAAAGACAGAAATAGTCGTTGTGATGACAATTTAGCTACTTAATTTAAATGATGGCCCAAGATACCTATGAGCTCAAAATATTTAAATATCCAAAATGGTCAGGTAGGTTTCTCCTAAGAATATACAAAATATCCAAATTCTTCAAAACCTGATCACCATAAGAACTCAATAATAGTGGCTATTACTAAATACAGGTGGTTGGTTGGGCTTGGTGTCTACACCCGTAATCCCAGCACTTTGGAAGGCCAAGGCAGGCGGATCACAAGTTCAGGAGTTCAAGACCAGCCTTGCAAACGTGGTGAAACCTCAGAAGGCTGAGTCAGGAGAATTGCTTGAACCAGGAGGCGGAGGTTGTAGTGAGCCGAAATCACGCCACTGCACTCCAGCCTGGGCAGTAGAGCAAGACTCTACCTCAAAAAAAAAAAAATTTAAATACAGGTGATTAAGTAACCTGTCCAAAGACATTCAGCTAGTTATTTTAAAAAGCTGAGATTTTTGTTAACTAAGCAGTCAGGCTTCTTTCTTTGTCTCCCTCCCTCCTTCCCCCACCTCCTTCCCCCCTCCCTCCCTCCCTCCCTCCCTCCTTTTCTTTCTTGCTTTCTTTTACCAATCTGGGCAGGTTTACCCCTCCTTAGGCAACCTGGTGGTTCCACACTCCCGGGAGGTCACTATATTAATGTTGAGCTTACCGTGGACACCCCATTGGCACAGCACTACAGCCCAAAACTCCTGGGCTCAATCAATCCTCCTGCTTCAGTCTCCCAAGGAGCTGGGATTACAGGCATGTGTCACCATGCCCTATGGCCCAATTCATCAGGCTTAGGAAATTCTCATGGGGTTCCATCTTTACTGACCGCTAATTAATGAAAACAAATTAGCTCTTGTTTGAGAAATTAAATCTCCAGCAACTCAGCTGAATATTGTCATAAGATTCATGGTAGAACATGGTAGAACATGAATCTTATGTTCTTTTCTCAGTTCCATGTTATCCTTAGTCAATTCTCATAAGAAATGTCTTCACTTTTACAATCAAAGTCAGACTGTGTTAGATAGTCATATGTATAAAACCCAGAGTAATGACTGTATCCTTTTCTGTGTTAAACTTCCGAGAACACCTTCAAATAATAGGAAAAGATAGACTTCCCGTTAAGAACCATAACTAACTATGTGTTTCCTCTTCCTGGATGCTGTCTTTAACCATTAGTCACCATAACCTGCTTATATAACAAATAAAACTAAGAATTAGACTTGTTTTTAAATTTTAAATTGTCAAATACTCTATAGAGTGTAGTAGTAAGCATTTTTAAATTCGTAAGTCATTTATATATACTCACAAACTCTCTGAAAAATGCTCTACATCTACAGAAAAAAAGTAAAAAAAAAAAGTCGTCCCTTTATCCCTCGTCCAAGGATTATACCCAAGAGGATAAATTATATCCTTAAAGACACACTTTGGCAGTGGTGCCATCATGGTTCACTGCAACATCCACCTCCTGGGCTCAAGCAATCCTCCTACCTCAGCCTCCCAAAAAGCTGAGACTACGACACGGGCAACCAAACCCAGCAAATTTTTGTACTTTTTGTAGAGATGGAGTTTTGCCATGTTGTCCAGGCTGGTCTCAAACTCCTAGGCCCAAGCAATCCACCTGCCTCGGTCTCCCAAAGTTCTGGGATTACAGGCATGAGCCACTATACTTGGCCTAAAGACGCATTTTTAATGCATATTTGTGTGTGTGTGTGTGTGTGCGCGTGTGTGTGCGCGCGCGCGTGTGTGTGTATCTTGGGGTTTTTCAATCATGTAAATAGATAAAATTATATCTATCGAAGGTAGAAAGTTTTGAGATTTTATCATTGCTGTTGTTTTATTTTTCAATTCCTATCCCACTAGAAAACATTCTGGGCTGAACACAGTGGCTCACGCCTGGAATCCCAGCATTTGGGAGGTTGAGGTGGGCGGATCACTAGAGGTCAGGAGTTCAAGACTAGCCTGGCCAAGGTAGTGAAACCCCATCTCTACTAAAAATACAAAAATTAGCTGGGCATGGTGTCACGAGCTTGTAATCCCAACTACTTGAGAGGCTGAGGCAGGAGGATCCCTTGAGGCCAGGAGGTAGAGTTTGCAGTGAGCCAAGATTGCACCACTGAACTCCAGCCTGGGTGACAGAGTAAACTCTCTTTTTTTTTTTTTCTTTTTCTTTTTCTCTATTTATTCCAGGCTTCAGGCTGAGTCCCTAGAATAATTCTCTCTTAAAAAAAAGAAAAAAAATTCTAGGCCAGGCATGGTGGATCATGCCTGTAATCCCGGCACTTTGAGAGGCCAAAGTGGGTGGATCACCTGAGGTCAGGAGTTCAATATAGTGACCAATATAGTGAAACCCCCGTCTTTACTAACATAGAAAAATCAGCCCAGCATGGGGACAGGCACCTGTAATCTCAGCTACTCAGGAAGCTGAGGCAGGAGAATCACCTGAACCCAGGAGGCAGAGGTTGCAGTGAGCAGAGATCATGCCATTACACTCCAGCCTGGGCTACAAGAATTAAACTCCATCTCAAAAAAAAAAAAAAATTCTGATATTTAGTATATGGAAACAAATGTGTCAAAATGGTTGATTCTCAGTTTGTTTACATTTGTGATTGTTAGGGCCGGGCGCGGTGGCTCAAGCCTGTAATCCCAGCACTTTGGGAGGCCGAGGCGGGTGGATCACAAGGTCAAGAGATCGAGACCATCCTGGTCAACATGGTGAAACTCCGTCTCTACTAAAACTACAAAAAATTAGCTGGGCACGGTGGCGCGTGCCTGTAATCCCAGCTACTCAGGAGGCTGAGGCAGGAGAATTGCCTGAACCCAGGAGGCGGAGGTTGCGGTGAGCGGAGATCGCGCCATTGCACTCCA